TTGTAAGGTTTATTCCCTGAGACCTTAGACCCTGTCAGCCATTTCTAGATCCTCCACGTGTCTTCAGTTCTTTGCAAGAGCCGGTAGTACCTGTTCAAAGTAAGACCCCTCCCTACTCCGGGAGACTTTTGCCTTACTCATACCCTGGGTTGTAGATTTTTTTCGGCTGGTTAGAAATAACCCAGCCCTGAGTTATCTTTAACTAACTTCTGTCCACGCTGGGGAGCAGCCAGAAACTAATCTTGCTTCCGTTTCTCCTTTGGTCTCCTAAGGATTGCCATAGCCCTGTAGGGGTTGTTGCACAATTTTGAACTAAGAGTTTAAACATACAGATGGCCCGGGTTCAAGTCTCAGTACCAAAAAACAATTGTCAAGATGGCAATTATCCTGCCTCAGCCTTCTAAGTGTTGGGATTAGGGGCATACCACCACTCCTGGCTTGGAACCTCTATCCTTTACCTTAGGTAGTACTGAATACAGGTTCCCCGGGGAAGCCAGAGTCAGTGGATGCCCCTGGAATTAAAGTTACATGCAGTTGGGAGTTGCTGAAAGGGGTGCTGGTAACCAAACTGAGGTCCTCTGCAAGAGCAGTATGCAGGGGCTGGAGAGATGGCTCAGGGGTTGAGAACACTGACTGCTTTTCCAGAGGAACCAGGTTCTATTACCAGTGCCCACATGGTGTCTAACAACTGTCCATAGCTCCCCCTCCATGGCATCCCACACCCTCTTCTGGTCTACTTGGACAGTGCATGCATGTGGTATATAAACGTACATGCAGATTCCAGGTATAGTGCATACCTTTAAACCCAACACTCTGGAGGCAGAGGGAAGAAAAGCTCTCTGAGTTTGAGGCCAGTCTGGTCTACATATCAAGTTCCAGGACAGCCATACATAAAAGAGACCCTGTCTCAAAAAAAAATTAAAAAGTTGCAGTCAAAACATTCAAAAACATAAAATAAAAATAAATAGATCTTGGGTCTGGAGAGGTGGCTCAGAGGTTAAGAGCACTGCTGCTCTTCCAGAGGTCCTGAGTTCAATTCCCAGCAACCACTTGGTAACTCACAACCATGAGATCTGGTGTCCTCTTTGATATGCAGGCAGAGATCACATACATAATAAATAAATAAATCTTTTTTTTTTTTAAATCTTTTAAAAACTGTCTGGTGGTGGCGCACGCCTTTATTCCCAGCACTCAGGAGGCAGAGACAGGCGGATCTCTGTGAGTTTGAGACCAACCTGGTCTATAGGTCGAGTTCCAGGACAGGCTCCAAAGCTACAGAGCTACAGAGAAACCCTGTCTCGAAAAACTGAGAAGGAAGGAAGGAAAAAGCGTGTGTGTGTGTGTGTGTGTGTGTGTGTGTGTGTGTGTGTGTGTGTGTGTGTGTGTGTGTGTGTGTACATGCATGCATGCATGCTTGTGCCAGGTGTGTGGGGACCCTTGTGGATCCCTTGGAGTTGTGAGCTGCCTGAAATTGGTGCTAGGAATTGAATTTGGATTCTTCTGGAAGAGAAATACATGTTCTTAACCTCAGAGCCATCTTTACACCTTTTTTTTTTTTTTTTGAGTGTATTGCCTGCATATGTGTATGTGTACCACATGTGTGCCCAGTACCTGTGGAAGCCAGATCCCCTAAAGCTACAGTTACATATGGGAATAAGTGCTAGGAACAGAACCTGAGCTCTCTGCAAGAGCAACAAGTATTCCTAATCATTGAGCCATATTTGAAGTCCCAACTCAGTAAGCTTAAATTAGGAACTTATCCTAAGACAACAGTTGGATCCCTTAGAACTGGAATTACAGATGGTTGTAGGCCGCCATGTAAGTGCTGGGAACTGAACCTGGGTACTTTGCAAGAGCAGCAAATGTACTTGATCACTAAGCCATGTCACCAGCCCCTGGTTTGGGACTTCCAAGACAGTATTACTCTGCATTCAAGTGTACTGGAATTAGGGCTGGCCTCAAGCTTGCAGCAATCCATCCTGTCTCCGCCCTCAAGGTTTTGGGGTTACTCAGTGAGCCATTAACCCTGCCTGCCTTAAGTATCACAGGTTATGATTGGAGATCTTGGGAGTCCGTGAATGACTCAGAGGGTAAAGGTACTATGTAACCAAGACTATGAACCTGTGTTCTGATGCCAGGGACTGACATGGTAGAAGGAAAGAACCGATTCTCACAAGCTCCACCCCCCCCACCTATCCTGTACACACAAATAAATGTAATGAAAGTAAAATAAAGATCTCTTTGGATGGGGGATTGAAACTAAACCCTCAGCCACTGTCTCCGTATAGAGAGAAGACTAAAGAACAACTAGCTGCCTTGAAGAAACACCATGAAGATGAGATCCAGTACCACGAGCAGGAGATAGAGCGTCTGCAGAAACAAATTGAGCGGCATAAGAAGAAGATGAAAAACCTGAAAAATAATGATTAAATGCATTCAGTCACCCACAGAATGGTCGGTGTCATTCCCCATTTCTGTAGAGATGTAGTTCATTCTGAGTGATTAATATTTTGGTCTGTGTGCTACTAACAGATAATAAATTGTCACCAGTAAATCATTTCTGTTGCATCTAGTATCTGGAGGGTGGTAGGGGGACAGACACTACTCCTCCATTCAAATGAACTAGGCGGGACTTCACTAAGTAGAGTAAGGAGGAAGATGACACAGACCCCAATCTAATCATAAGTGTGCAGCTTTGAACTGTAAACCCCAATACAGTGAGTGCATAAAGCTTAGGAACATCCTGTAGCAGAGTAAAGGCTGTTTCCAAGGACCAGAAATAATAGTGTTGTATTACTTGAAGGACTTTTGTTTGGACTAGCTATTGCTCTAATTTTGCAGGTTGAGACAAATAGAATTAGAAATCATGAGCTGGGCGGTGGCTCATGCCTTTTAATCCCAGTGCTTGGGAGGCAGAAGAAGCAGGCACATTCCCCAAGTTTAAGGCCAGCCTGATCTACAAAGCAAGGGCTACCCAGAGAAACCCTGTCTGGGGTGGGGGTGGGGGGTGGGTGGGTAGGCAGTCTGGGCTGCATGAGCCTATGTCTCAAAAAAGGGAGGAGAAAAAATACACAGGTTGGACTATAGTGCACTAGTAAAGTACATGCTTAGACATGCATGAGGGCCTGGGTATGATCCCAGCACTAGGGATTAGAAAGGTTGCCAGGGATAATTCAGTATTTCCTATAATCAGTATAGAGATTTGGGTCCAGATTTTTTTTTTTCTGGCTTTAGATA